ACTCAAGACAGCCATAACATTATGTTTCTTTACAAGTGTATGTAAACTTTTGACCACAACTGTATTACAGCAATAGGACAACATAAAGACAGTATTACCGTAAAACATGAAAATACAATCATATTAACATTGTAATCACTGAACTACTGAGTTTAAATATTATAAAGCTATGGTGCAGTACCATATTGTGTAGATGCAGCAGGGGGCAGTATTGGACCAATACAAGGCTCCATTGACTGCCATTATAATTTAATAAACATTAATATTTCAAAAACTATAAGGTTTACAGGCACCAAAAGGCATAGCCATCATTTGGCACAAGAGCTTTACAGATATAAATTACAAYGGCAGCTCTAGGACAAAGTATGCAGGAGGAGAAGCATGGCAAAGTTGAGATGACTTGGATGGGAAACGAATCACAATAGTGTGTATTGCCAATGCACACTGATAAATTCTAAATTGTAACTCAGACACACAGTCGAGGCAGAACAGGACAAGAAGTGAGTGATTCCATTTATACAATAATACAAAAAGCAACAGAGGTAAAAAAAAAAAGGGGGTGGGGGGATATGCCGTATGTTCAATAATATAAAGACCCATGGATGGCGAGCAGACAAGGGGTAGGTTGTCATTAATGGTGAATGGTTAGCTAAATGCTTGAGTAAAAAAGCAGGTTTTTAGGTGTTTCTTGAAAGAGACAATGTCATCAAGGGAGCGTCGATTAAATGGGAGTTTATTCCAGAGCCTGGGGTCCACAGAGGAGAAGGACCGGTCACCTCGGGTCTTAAAGCGAGTGAGGGGAACCATAATGAGGGGGCTGGATCCTGGGAGCGGAGGTCTCGTCTGGGGTTGTAAGGGGAAATGAGACTTTTAATGTACTTGGGTGTTTGGCCATGAAGAGCTCTGAAAGTGAGGACCAGGATTTTGGACCTGATTCTGAATTGAATTGTTTGTTCAGTTAGTTCAATTGAACTAAATCACTCCGGGGGGCCCTCACAGGCCAACAGCTGAGGGGCCGAACATCCAGAAATTAAAGTCATTATGTGATTAAAGTATTACAAAGATCTGTCACCTTTGAATTTGTTTATTTTAATGCATTTAATCATGATTACAACATACGGAACTTTATAGAAGTAGTGATAATAAAACTTCAAAAACAAACAAAAAAAACCATTCTGCCTCTTATTTACTACAAATATTATTTTGATATCTCAGTGATCAAATTTTTAAATCAATTTTATTTTCACTTTCATAGTTTTATCTTCAACTACTTGTAATTTTGACAGTCTTATGTTCATAGAAATGGTTTCTGTAGTTACCAAACATGTCTGTGTTTAAAACTAATTAAAGTAGAAAACCGGGGATTTGGGCTTAAGAGATGAATGAACCAATCGGTGGACCGAACTTTGGTCACTCACAGCGGGTAGAATCCAGAAATTTTACTTAAGAGCAGTGATRTGTACATGAGAGGGTGGGTCAAAGTGGGGGTGACTGGGGGGTTATAATGAATTAAGTAAAAATAAAAGTACAGTATGTAAAAATACTCCTAAAAGTACTTTTTGTTCCAAAAACTTACTCAAGTAAATGTAACTATAGTTACTACCCAACTCTGGCAGAATTACAAAAATTACAAAATAAACATTAAAAATAGAATTCCCTTCGGTAAAAGGCAGGTGAGAGTTTTAGTTTACTATATTTCTTAATCTAAATGTTCAAAATGAAAAACTGAGGTCCTACTTCTGAACAATGAAAGAAAAACTCAACAAATGTCTGTTTTCCATCATCAGTCTTATTTCTCTGAACACATCCTTCTTCTGATGTAAATTCATGTGGAAACAGGAAGTTAAAGTCGGCACACGAAGCGTCCTACTTTCAGAAATTACCTCYCTAATGAAGACACGTCGTCCATTTTGCCTCAGCCCGTTTTCATTTTTGTTCCACTTCTCTTTCTTGTTTTTAACGCAGCCAGGAGCTAAATTTAGCTTTTCATTTTGACTGCAGCTCGGGTGTAATTTGAATTTGGGGAAAATGTTGAATTACACACCCCCATCCTCACCCCCCAGAGTGAGGAAGGCTTTTCTTCTGGRTTTGGCTCACAGACACAAAATGAGCGTGAAGACTGTCGTCTTCAGAGGCTGAATCTTTAATGGTGTCCAGCTGAGACTCTAAGAGAAACCCTGCCGTTTAAAAAACCTTTTAGGAATCCCGGTCAGGAACCGGACCGGTCTTTAGACACGCTCCGACTTGTTAACAACATCGCTTCATGTTTTGAACATTTTCCCTCCAAACGTTTCAGGATGAAGAACCAAACATCAAAGCTTCCTCGAACTAAAGGGAGAGGCTTTTTCAACATTTATTACCTCCACCAAGGGAGGAGGTAATGTCCTGCCTGTCCGTTTGTCTGACTGTGGACAAAATTACTCAACTTATGATTGGACTTTCATGACATTTTTACCACAGCTGGGTACTGGCCAAAGGAACAGACCACTAAATGTTGGTGATGATCCGGATCTCAATGCGGATCCAGAAATATTTCGAAGRATTCTTCACTATAACAGGATAGAGGAAGTTGGCCTTGGCAGAGGTTTGCACTCTCCRAGTGCTTCTAGTTTTATTTCTGTGGTCATCARATGATTATTTACCTCCAACCACGGCTTCAAGAGCTCAAATTCAGGATGGACAGATGGAAATTTCTGTAGAAAAGTTAGGAAGCAAATGTAGCTCCCAGCTCAGACCAACACCTCAAAACAGTTTTCTCTAAGAGCAACAAGAACAGATGACTTCCTAACCGACCTCTTATGATCACCTGCAGCACCTACAGCTGATCTCACCTGAGGCGGCGGCGGCGGCGGCGGCGGCGGCGTCCTCCTCGGCGGTGGGGGCGCACTCGGTGTTGGCTCGTTTGCTTTTGGGGATGACCCGTTTCTTGAAGGAGGTCCAGATCTCGTTGGCGTGATGCGTCACCGTCCCCCCTCCTGCCGTCGTGGCCTTCTCCTCCTCCCCTCCCTCCGCCTTCTCCTCCCCTCCCTCCGCCTTGGCCTCCTCCGCCCCTGCGTCGGCCTTGGCCTCCTCCCCGTCCTCTGCTCCTCCTCCCGCGGCCTCCTCCGTTTTCTCGGCGGACTCCTTCTCCGAGTTCTTGGCCTTGCCGCTGATGCCGGACACGGACGGGTCCCTCTTCAGGCCCTGGAAGGTCCAGGAGCGTTTCAGCTTCCACCTCTTGTGTCCAGACTCCTTGGAGTCCAGCGTGGAGGAGTCTCCCCCGCCTCCTTCTTCATCCTCCTTCCCGTCCTCTGCTCCGCCGCTCTTCTTGTGAGCCTTTTGGGCCATGAGTTTCTTGAAGGAGTGCCAGCGCCTCATGTGCTTCGTGGCTGAGGAGGACGAGGCCTTCTGCTCTTCCTCTGCTCCTCCTGCTCCTGCCGCTGCTCCTCCCTCCTCCACGGTAGTGTCTGAGGCGGCGTTAAGTGCTTCGGGATCTTCCAGACGGTCCAGGGACTTGGACCGGACCTTGACTTGTTTCTCGGGCTCTGCGGCGGCGCCGTCTTTCTTCTCGGTGCTGCGATGGGAGAAGATCCTCGCCACCGGCTTCCTGATCAGATCTCGAACCGAAGATTTTGTTTCCGCTGGTTTCCCCTTCTTCTCCTCCTCCTTCTTCTCCTCCTCCTTCTTCTCCTCCTCCTTCTTCTCGTCCTCCTTCTCTCCATTCTCCGCAGCTTTGTCCGTCGCTGCTTCCCCTTCTGCACCTCCCTCTGCTCCTCCTTCACCCGCCGCAGCTTCCTCGCCTGCCTTCTCTCCCTCCTTCTCGCCTCCTTCGGCGGCGCCCTCCTCTCCTCCTCCTGCGGCGGAACTGTGCTCCTTCTTCTTCCTCCCTCCCATCACCTTCCCCAGGCCACTCTTGTTGAGGAAGGAGTCCAGGAAGGAGGTCTTGGGCTCCGCGGYGGAGGCGTTTTCTGAGCTCTGAGGAGGTGCCGCCTCCCCACCTGCTGCTGCAGCTCCTCCCTCCTCGGAGCTGGGCGGCGGTGCAGCTGTGTCGTTGTTCACAGTCTCTTTGTTATCGGCCGTGCCATCTTTCTCCACCTCGCTGTGGACAGTCTCTGAGTTGGACATTGTCTCCGGCTCCTCCTCCTCCGTCGGCTTGTTTTCAGGAGGTTTTCCGTCCTCCTGGACCATCGGCGCCGCGCTGGCCTCAGTCGCCGCCATCGCCGTGAGACAAAACAAACTGTAACAAAACAGAAAGTCTCTTCCTCCCTCTCTTTCCTCGGCCTCCTGCCCTCCTCTTCCTCTGTCGTTCTGGTGCTGGTTCCTCCCGCTGTGACGGCGCTCTCAGGTCATGGAGCACAGGGCGGAGAGCGGCGGCGAGGAGGAAAGACTCTCAGCATCCTACACGTCCTGCAAACTCCTGCGGAGAACRTAAAGGTGAGGACAGAGGGAGGAGGGGGAGGGAGAGGCACAGATGGTTAATAGTCTGAATCAACACTCAATTAGTCTCGTCTAGACCGTGAGCTGAATGRGGAATGAAGGGAGAAGCTCAGCAGGAACCTGCAACAAGAGGATGATGTTTCCTGACCAGACACTTTGAAGATTCACASTCCATGTGTGGCGTGAGCGACAATGGAGCACAAACCCTCTGCGTCCCTTTTTACACTAAAGAACAAATGTTTGGAACCCAGACAACAGTGAAAAGACTAAAAACTGAGATTAGACTAGAGTTCTGTGAAATCGTATCGTGTGCTTGGAATACAAAAAACAGTCAACAGTTAACAATGGTTACTTTGTTACTGAGATTAGTGTTGTGATGCATTTTAGTGTGACACTACCAGGTGTGCATGTGAGCTTAATTAATCTTATCTCAAGCCTTAACCCTAGACTTAGCTTTTGCCTTAACTCTAGCCCTAGCCTTAGCCCTGGCCTTAACTCTAGCCCTATCCTTAGCCGTAGCCTTAACTCTAGCCCTATCCTTAGCCGTAGCCTTAACACTAGCCCTATCCTTAGCCGTAGGCTTAACTCTAGCCCTAGCCTTATCCCTGGCCTTAACTCTGGCCCTAGCCTTAGCCCTGGCCTTAACTCTAGCCCTATCCTTAGCCGTAGCCTTAACTCTAGCCCTAGCCTTAGCCGTAGCCTTAACTCTAGCCCTAGACTTAGCCTTAACTCTGGCCCTATCCTTAGCCGTAGCCTTAACTCTAGCCCTAGACCAGGGGTGCCCAAACATTTTCACTGAGAGGGCCAAATTTAAAAATACATTTTCCCTAAGAGGGCCAAAATTAAAATCGATCTGAGGGTCGCGGGCCAAATGCAATAATAAGAAATGCAAATACTTCTTACATAAACTTGTTTTATTTTTATGATTAAGATGGGAGCTAGTGTGGTT